CAGGACAGGGCGGCGCTGCAAAAGTGGGATATTAAAGAGCCCATGGGCAGCACGCCCTGCTCTCACTCGGTCGGGCTGGCCCCCGACGTAAACGGGAGGGGAGCACCAATTTCTCTTTTTTTTTCAAAAACAACCCTGATCTATTAAGCCAGCACCAGCATACAACCCTGTCAAAGAAAGAAAACACAAGTTGGTCCACGGGACGCCGAACGTCTTCCACCACCAACGTGAGCCCATGGCGCGCAGCTACCGCTCATCCAGAGTCGGCCAGACATTGTTTTACGCGATCAGGAAGTCATGAACACTAAGGTCCTCTCGAACCAGTACCTCGGAGGAGAAGACGTCGCCGAAGCAAGCCACACAGATCCAGACACCACGACAGCGCCGCCCTACACACCGGTCGTCGATCTAGCACCTAGAAACCATCCCCAGAACTCGTCGTCAACGCCGGAGTCGTTGTTGAAGCGGGATCTTGTTCACCAATTTCTCGTTTGACGCGAGATAAAAGCTAGCGTTGCCTCAAACGAGATACATTTGAAAAAAAATATTAACCATGTACTTGAAAAATGTTAAACATCACAAAATCCAAAAATAGACATGTGAAAAATGTACGACGTGTGTGAAAAAAGTAGACATGTGCTAAAAATTTTAGAAAAAAAAAGACAAAACAACAGAAAATCCATAAAACCAAAAAACTATAAACAAACACAGAAAACCGAAACACAAAATAAAATCATCAAAACCTGATGTAGAAAAAAAAAGGAGAAACACAAAAGGAAAACCTGCGAACCGAGAAAATTAAAAGAAAACGCTAAAGAAACATAGCAAATCGGAAAAACGCAAAAAAAAAATTGAAGCACATGTAGTGTTTATCGTGAAAAAACACAGCTTTCAAAAAAATCCACCAAAACATAGGAAAAACACAAACAAAATTTGAAAAGCCACAATAAAAAAACAAAAATGCATGCAAAAAAAAGAAAACAAAATCCCTGGGGTTGGACGAGTGAACAATTCGTTGGTACCCAACTTCTATTTGACGCTTTATGCGTCAGTTTTACTTGTTTTCAAAAACCGACACATACCGTTAGATCGCAATGGGCCGGGCCATCGGGCTATTTCTTGCGGGAAGCTCTCCTGGTTTTGTGAAGCTTAGAGTAGCTTCCCAGCTCGGTTTTGGAAAGCTTCTAGAAGCTTCCAACCGGCGTTTTTTGTTTTTCTCAACTAGTATTTGTTCGGGTCATGCTGTTTTTCTTTATCTTTTTTTTACTCCCCTTTCCATTTTCTTTTTTATTTCTTCTTTCTTAGTTTTTTTTCTTTTCTTTTCTTTTCATTTTTATATGCTTGACCTTTTTTAAAATTCAAAAATTTCTACAAATTCATGAACTTTTTAAACACGTGACTTTTTTCAAATTTGTGAACTTTTTTTTGAACCCACGAGATTATGTCAAACGCATGAATATATTTAAATTCACAAATATCTTCCAAATTTACTATCTTATTTTCAAGAACTGCAAATAAAAATTAAATTCATGAACTTTTTCAAAATTAGTGTACATTTTCCAAATCTGTGAACTGTTTCAAACCTGTGATTTGTTTTTTCAAACTCAATGACTCAAATCCGCAATCTCCTTTTTTAAATCCATATTTTTTTTTCATATTCATGAACTTTGTATCAAAATCGATGAACTTCTTCAAATCCTTGAACTTTTTTGAATTCACAAACTTTTTTTGATTTTGTTGTGATTTTTTCTAAAAGTCAACGGTTGGCTGGTCAACTATCAACCAGTTAACTGTTTGACCAAGTGAACCAGGAGCGCCCGGGCGAGCCATCGCGTCGCCGCATGATGTGTCGGCAGATATCTATGAGCGTGTGGGCGCTAGAAACCCTCACCTGAGAGAAGGCACCGATTAGGAGGTCTCTCGCGAGTTCCCTCTCCTATGGTGCACATCTCTTAGCGTACTCTACAGATTTGGTGAGCAGTGCAATAGACGTTACACTAGAGCGGAAGCGTTCGGATCATGATTGGCTGGTTCCTCCTACACACTAGGTAGGTAGCGAGCAGTGAGGCGGTTTCGCGCTTGTCAAACAGGTCCGCAGGTGAACTCGTGCGCTAGGTAAGGCGCCCTGCCCGCCGGTGCTAGCGATGCTCGCACAGGCATGAAAAAGTTTGATTTAAAGTATGATTTTCGTCTCCTTTTATTTGAAGATGTGTTTGTATCTCATTTAGTTCAAGATCTCGTTTAGTTCAAAGTCATGTTCCTTCTTTTCGCAAAAGAAGAAGACGTTCCTTCTGTTTCAAGGTTCAAACAAGGTTACTTAGAGCACATACTTTAGTTTTTTGAAATTAAGAATTGATAAATTGGGCTGATTGATTACGAAAAAGGATTTTCCCCGTTTTATATATAAAGCAACCACCCACAAACATCCAACAATAGCAAAGTTTCAGGTTCAGTAGTCTGAGAACAAGAAGTGCAGAAAGAGAACTAAAATAAGTTTCGCTGGGGCACACATCACAACACGCCCCAACAAAATGAAAAGCTAGCAGCTAATCGGGCTTCGGTGGAGGCGGCGGGGTCGGAGGAGCAAGCGAACTGGCGGTGGAGTGGAGACTGGCGATGATGAAGTCGATGTTCTCCCGATCGGGCCGCTTGCTAAGCGGTCTCCAGAGCTGCAAGAAGCCACACATTTTGTAAATGGTATCAGTCACACGGTTAGGAATCACGTGTTCGATCACTAGCTTTATGGGTTTGTTTGAACTGACACTTCTTTTATTTTGGTACTCCCTCTGTAAACTATTCTAAACGCTCTTATATTTCTTTATATATGGAGTTTATTGTTGTAGATTTATTATGAAGACTTTCTATTGGGAATTTTAAGAAAAGATTTTCTATTGGGGAAAACCTTTCGATTCATCATCTGTCAAGGCAGTACAACAAAATCTAAAAATAAATTACATCCAAATCTGTAGACCACCTAGCGACGACTACAAGCACTGGAGCAAGTCAAAGGCGTGCCGGTCATCATCCCTCCCTCCCTAGAGCGGGACAAATATTTTTATAATAGACAGTCGGGAAGTCATCGTGCAAATGAGACTTGACATTTGATTTTTAAAACGCATTGCAAGACCTTATTGATCTGTACTTTTGCTAATTTCTGTACTAGTATGTTGGTATATTGTATCTGTGGCGAGATTTTTCTTTCTCTGCTGGACCGTCCCGTACAAACATAATGCATATGACATGTACGGTTAATGTACAGTACACTTCTTTGAGTACACTTGATTATTCGCCTTTGTAATGAAATGCATGTGTACAAATTGACATGCTTTACGTAGGACGGTTTGTTGGCCAGGAGGGTATGTCATATGTCATCCCTTTTGTACCTTGATGAAGAACAGAGACGACCCGCCGGTAAAGCGTATGGAGGTTAGAGGGCGTACGTGCACCTCGAAACGCCCATACGCCACTGCGTACATGTGTCCTGCGCATACCCGATCTCGATCGTCCCATCAGTGGGCGCAGATAATATGTCTCGCCAACTTGGCCTACGGTCCGTCCCCGGTCTAACAGGTATAGATGACAAGCTGCCGAGAGAATTATGAAGCATGCTGGCTCCGCACACACACATAGAAAATGTACAGGATTCCACTGCATGATTGCTCGGCAGTTCGGCCTGATGAGGACGTGCCGCGGCAGAGATCGATGCCAGTTCTTCAAGAAAACGAGATCGATTATTACAGGAGTACGTGTGGGTATAGCTAGCTGCTTGCGGGCCAGCAGATTGATTCTCACTTGACATGCATGTTTGTCCCTGCAAAATCCAAGCTCCGTTTGGAACTTAACTGGGAGTTGCCACATACAAGCAACACACCCCTATTGGCCATTGCGCTCAGATGACGCGGATAAACCTTGGCTAACTTCCGAAATGCGCGAGCTTCGAAATGGACGTGGTGCAGAACAGAACATGCATATGTACCAGTAAGTTCTTCCATTCTTCTTCCCGCAAAAAAAATAGTTCTTCCATCCTTCTTTTTCCTTTTCTTGGAGAAGATAGTTACATGAAAAGAAACTAAGTATCAGTCAAAAATCTGGACCGTTGGATGAAGAATGGACGGTTGGATGATCTTCTTCTACCTCTAGCCGTTTCGTTTCCACGACCGAATCCAGCAGTGCACGATCTCCCCCGCGCGAGCCCCCCTCCAACGCCAGCTGGAGCACCTGCTCCTGCCACCCGTGGCGCTCCCTCGACCGCCCCGCCCTCACCCTCATGCATATAAATGTACCAGCAAACCAAGTTCTTCCACACCCTTCCTTTTCTTGTTTAGAAAAGACAAAGCACACGGAATGCTTGAAATAAACATGCATATCATGCACGATTCGTACTACTACTTACGGAATGCTTGCACGTGCATCATCTCAGGCAACTTGAAATAAAGGAGAAGTAGATCAGATAATCTCACACACCCAGTGCATTTACTAGGAGCATGCATGGAGGTTTTTCAACAGGAACACAGTTTTACAGCGGAAGAGTGTCTCCAGTTCCAAAAAGAAAAAGAAAAGAACACTAGTATTGTACTCCCTCCGTCCGAAAATACTTGTCATCAAAATAAATAAAAGGGGACGTATTTAGATGTATTTTAGTTCTAGATACATCCCTTTTTGTACATTTTGATGACAAATATTTCCGGACGGAGGGAGTATCTTCTCTAGGAACAACGCAATGATGTTTCCTGTGTAGTGTGTACTGAAATCTGAACTGTGCTGTACTAATTTACATATGAGTTTTCTGATTGCAATACATGGCATCATTCAAAGGGCGGAAACGACCAAACGAAACCATCTCATGCAAGCACGTACATACTCGATCCTTTACAAATCTATATAAACGACCTCACACACTATACCTACAGTACCAATGGAATTAAATAATTCAATCGCTAGTTTTTCCTTCACAACGTATACACAACGATCACTGGGCACGCGCGCACGACCGGCCGGCATCAGCTCCACGCTTGGGGGAACCTCATGGTTCCAAGGGTAGCCGTGTCCTCGAACCCCGAGTCGAAGAAGAATCCGCACTCATCTCCCGCTCCTCCTGTGGCCATCATCGGCGAGCTGCCCGCCATCTCTTCCTGCGGGTACTGGTCAAGAAGCAGCGAGTTGTATTGCTGCCACATCGCCGCGTTCATCAACGGGTTGGGGCCACAGATCAACTCCTCCTGCCGTGGCGCCACGAAGCCGGCGGCGCCCGAGCCCATCATCTGGTCGCCGCTCGCGTCCATCACGGGCAGCTCCTGCGCCACCTGCGACGAGCGGGCGAAGGTCGGCGAGGAGGAGCGGGCGTTGTCTTGCTCGCCGTCCAGTTTCTGCTTCTGGAACACCCTGCAGAGCACCCAGTCCTCCTGCAGAATTGCATCCAGGTTAGAAACGCCGGCCGATGCAATTGCGAAGAGGAGGTAAACCTGAAGAGTACGACAAGTGATACGTACCCTTGGTGGCAGGTGCGGCGAGTCGAGGCGGAACTCGTGCATGACCCAGCTGGTTTTGCTGCCGTTGGGGGCGCGGCCCTGGTAGAAGACCAGCGTCTTCCTCATGCCGACGACGGCGCGCGTGGCCGGGCTGCGCACCTCGCGGTCCTTCCCGGTGGCCTTCCAGTAGCCGGTCTTGGTGGCGCGGTTGGTGCGCGACCCCGTGGCGTACTTACGGTCCCTGAAGCTGAAGAAGTACCACTCGCTAGCCGTGAGCTTCGCCACGTCTGTGAGCGCCCAAAGCACAATCAATTAATTAACAGTGTCAGTGAAAACCCGATATATACCGGGCCTCACAAACCGTAGCTGCAACTTGCAAAATGATGGGAGCATACGTACTAAAAGCGTAAAATTGATTACCGGAAAGCGAAACACTGCTCTTTTCCTATGATGAATGAGGAAACCGAAGAAACGGAAATCCGAAATGTGACTATTACGCATGTGACGTTGCGAGGAAGTGGACAGGACCGGAGGACGTCGTCATCGAGACGTTCACGAGGACAGCACTGCGCGTTCTGATCAGTTAATGCATTATTGGCAAGTGATTATCGTGGATTATTCCATGCTCATTGATTAATGAGCATATATGGGACCTTGGCTAGCGGGTTAAGCTACTAAACGGGACAAAAATACTCACAAGGATGATTGGTCAGTAAATCCTTTTTTGCTTCTTCATTATTATGACCGAGATATAATTGTTGCATATCTTCAACAAAGGCCATGCTAATCTCAGCCATACTCCGGAACGAAGGTCATGCTCGTAATCACTTGGATGGCTCGATACTCTTAGGCTAGCAACTATAGTAAGAACTCTTTTCCTTGCACAGCAGCTAGCATGCATCGATCTAATGAACACAGCCGGAAGAACAGCAGGCGGGAACGGGACATGGCAAGAGGAATCGACCGAAACCAGAGAGATGAACCTAGCGAGGAAGGAGGTAGTGGACTCACCAGGAAGCTCCCATGGCTCGCGCGCGTGGAGGTCGACCTCGACGAGCGTGCCCTGCGAGGCGCGCTCGTTGGTCACCTTCTTGTAGAGGTAGTGGCAGACGAGCTCCTGGTCGCTGGGGTAGAACCTGAACCCCGGCGGCAATGTAGACTCTATCTCCCTCAGCCCCATCCCTCCTGCTCTCTCCGTCCGTCTACGCAGCCCACCTGACCAACAACCTATCCTCCCGGCAGCCGGACAAGCAGCCTATTAACTGGCCTGCGGCTAGCTAGCTTGGAACCCAAGTCTTAACCACGGCCGGGGAGCTAGCTAGCCGGAAGAAGCAACCCTGAGCTACACACCATGGGAGTGGCCGGATGGCTTGGATCGACCGGCTCTTTATATAGCGGGGACGGAGCCGACGGAAGAGAGACAACTCGATATATCCATATCGTGTCAGGGAACAGTGGAGGTGGGGGAGGCCGGAAAGCGGTGCCCTAGCCAGCTCTTTCCGCTTAACTACACTTGACAGCAGCAAGCTCCGCAGCGGCTGCCGGCTCGGTCGCTGTCCCGGTATCCCGGCCCTCGCCCCGTGTGGGCCGGCGTGCTGCTTACCTTAGCTTAGCTTAGCTAGCTAGCCTGCTTATGTGGAAGATTCCAACGCGACGGATCGACATGCTGCCATGCATGCTTGTGCCACAAGAACCGCGCCGCTGACGATCCACCCAGGAGCCCCAGCCTCGCAAGCTAGCCCATTTCCACCCCCCGCAAGTCATGACGTGGAGTCCTCCCACGTGGCACGCCACCAATACATTAAGCTCGCGCTGTTTATTCTCAACGTCTTTTCTTTTGTACAGTTCAAAAGATTATTAAATCAGAAGGAAGTGTGCACTCAGGTTACGGTGCTGATCCTGGAAATTCAATCTAAAAATATTGCTGGTCCCCACAGGATAAGAGTATAGGGCCTGTTAGGCAACTGCCCAGCTTCCAGCTTCTTTCGAATCCACAAGCGGAAATGTCCCGAACGACCTGGCTTCAGGAAGCTAGCTCCGGGATCTGAGACGAGTCATGGTACAAAGACTGGGAGCTGGTGTTTCATGGATCCTAGAAATCGAAAAAGTTGGAGTTTAAGTTATTTACGGCCGGCGAGCTGCTACCGCGAAGTGAAAGAAAACGTTTCGTCGAGCAAAGAAAAGACCGCAACGACTCCCGTCCCTCACAAACCCACCTCACACTATAGTAGAAAAAGGGCCTATTGTCCCGGTTCATAAGGGAACCGGGACTAGAGGGTCGTTACTAAAGCCTCACCCCTTTAGTCCCGGTTCTTACACGAATCGGGACTAAAGGCCGTCCACGTGGCCACTGCCTGGAGGTCCACCTTTAATCCCGGTTGATAACACCAACCGGTACTAAAGGGAATTTTATGATATTTTTTTGAAAAAAAAATTGAATTTTTTTTTATTTTCAAATTTCTGAATTATTTTAACCTATAATATCTAATCAACCCTCATCACGGTCACCCATCCTCTCACTACTCCAGCCTGAGCACACTTAACTTTCGGGTTCTATTCTTCCTCATTTCCAAGTCTACACTTGTTGTTTTCCTGACAATAGTAAGATGTCAATCATATTAACCCTCATGAATTTAGCTTGAGCATGAAGTCACACATTTCACTGTTTGAGTTTGAAATTATTGTTCTAAAAAACAATAATTATTTAGTAACACTAATATTTATTGAATAAGTAGTTTGATCACAGTCTGACCACAGTTTGACCATAGTTTGACCAGATTTGACCAAAATTCAAAAAAACTGAAATAATTATTTAGTAACACTAATATTCTTGAATAATTATTTAATAACACTAATACTTCTTGAATAAGTAGTTGGACCATATTTGACCAGATTTAACAAAAAATAAAAAAAACTGAAATTTGAGCATAACTTTTTTCCTTTTAGAATTTGAGGATTCTAAAAATTTGCAAACAGGCCATAGGCGGTCAAAATCGGATGCGGATTTTCGTGCTGAACATTTTGATATATTATATGTTTTTTCTGACATAGTATGCAAAAGTTATAGCCGTTTTACATTTTCCCTATACTTTTTGCAAAACATGTCCAAATTTAAGTTTTTAAATTTTCCTAACTAGTAGATGTAGTAACATAACTACATCTCGAAGGATTTTAATTTTTGAATTTTTTATCATTTTCTTTTGCTTTTTATAAAACTGAAAAGGCGATCCACAGGGGGAGGGGGGTAGAGTTTGAAAATGGGACCTTTAGTACCAGTTCGTGCCACGAACCGGTAGTAATGCCTCAAACCCCATTATTACCGGTTCGTGGCACGAACCGGTACTAAAGGTCTAACCTTTAGTACCGGTTCGTGCCACGAACCGGTACTAATGGGCATCGCCTTCTTTAGTCCCGGTTCGTGGCACCAACCGGGACTAAAGGTCTCATTTGAACCAGGACTAATGCCTTTACCGCATGAACCGGGACCAATGCTCACATTAGTCCCGGTTCATGACTGAACCGGGACTAATGGACTTATCTGTCCCGAATGAAAGCCCTGTTTTGTACTAGTGTCATACACCCAGGCGGGCGGCACGGTCACTGTTCGGTCACGTTTTTTTACCCAGACAGGCTCCTTAAACGGGTCTCAAAAGGTCGGGCTGACCAGCAACCCCCATATCCAGCCCAAATATGGGGCGGATATGGGAGCGCCCGGGCGGGCGGCCCGGTCACGTTTTTTTACCCAGGCGGGCTCCTTAAACGGGCCTCAAACGCCCGGGCTGACCGGCATCCCCCATATCCAGTCCAAATATGGGGCGGATATGAGGGCGTCCGGGCACGCCCGCCACGTCGGTCTGACGGCAGGGTCCCATGCAGAAACGCCCGGAAACACGGCGGTCCGACGGACGACGCATCCGTCACTGCGGTGTGAACGCCATGTGGCGCTACTCCGGCTCGCCGCCCAAGACCAAATCCGGCTATTTAAGCCGGCCGACTTCCCGCAACCCTAACCCATCCCCTCCCCCCTTCGTGCCGCCAGTCCGAGCCTATCCACCTCCTTCCTCTCCCGCTCCGGCGCTCTGCCCACGATCGGACGTTGTGCCCATGCTCTGGCACTCCGCCATGGTCCGAAGCAAGATCACCTACTACGTCATGCTGACGTCGGAGCGCCGCTACGAGATCCAGCGGGAGATCCGGGCGAGGCCAGCCGCGCGCGCCGCGCGCATTGCTGCTTGCCTGCCTCAGAACTCGCCAGAGCCGGAGGAGGAGGAGGAGGAGTCGGGGGAAGAGGAGGAGGAGGAGATGGCTCTGATGGAGGTGAAGGAGGCGAAAGAGCCGGAGGAGCCGGACCAGCAGCTGCCGGCCTTCAACATGGAGCAGGTGGAGGCGGAGTTTGGTGTCGCCCAGTCCGACGAGATGGCCGAGCAGCAGGCCATTCTGGAGTCCATCTAGGATGAGACCTATGTGGAGGCCAACCGGGCATTCCTCCGGCGGGAGCAGGCGGAGTCCGATGCGCACTTCGCCGAACTCGACGCGGAGATAGAGGCGGAGGAGACCGGAGCGAAGCACCCGGAGGCGACGGAGCTGCAGCTGTCGCCCCTGCTGCCGGAGCCGGGCACGAACATCGACGTAGTACGTAGGTTTTACTTTCTTTTGCTGTCTTTGTATGGATACAAGAATCGAGTATGAGATGTCCGGATGCAACAATTAAAATTTAAGGTGAGTCCGACCACTGCACGCGGATGCGTCCGCCGGCGTTTGAGAGGCCGGACTTGCCACATGTGGTTGTAGATGCTCTTAGACCGTAAAGCCGCAGGGAGTATTGATCTTTCTCATCTCTCTGTTGGTGCAGAGTCAGCTTACGCTGCTGCTTCCGCGGGGAAGGAATAGAAGGGGCACATTAATTGATCGGGTCCGCCTGGCGGGAAAGGAAACGAAAGGGTCCTTTTAAGGTTGTTAGATTATCACGTATGATTAGAGGACCGGCGACGGCGACGCGACGGCCGGCGTTCGGGCGTAGTAGTATGTGTTCGCGGGCCGGCGAGGGCGTGAGCGGGTGTACAAGCTTTGCTTTTGTCAACGCATAAATAATGCAGTTGCGCGGTACTGTACCAGGGCGGGGCCCCGCCCCCCGGGACTGCGGAATCATGCACCCATCGCTCGCTCTCATGGATGTGCTTACATGACGATGCGTGTTCATTATTTGCGGGGGATTCATTAATTGTAGACCGCTGTAGTACTACGTGTAGCTCGCCATGGATGGCGCTATGACCATGGACATGACACCGCTCTTAATTATGGCGGGAGCGAAAAGACTTGGTCCTGCTGACGGTCGAGCTTTCTCCTGTCGAAATTAATTCGGTCGAACAGAGTAGATTGTAACGTAGTGACTGCTGCGTGTGACCTGTGAGGTCACTGCACATGAGCATCGAACAGAGTAGATTGTAACGTCAATCACCCAAGGCAAATCAAAATTATGATGCTGTCAACTCTACTCCACTCCTTATGCTCATCATTTTTTTAGGGGCTGGCTCATCAAGTCATCATGCATATGGGAGCACGTACGTAATGCGATTCCATCTGCGCGTTCAGATAGCAGCATTGTTTGTTACATACTAGAGGTAGAGGTGATGCATGACGCATGCAGGGTCAGGGTCACGTGCACAGCGGGTTTACGATTGATCATTCATCTGAACTCATTCTAGCCCTTGCAAGTTCTCTCACATATATACTTCGTAGCCGCACGTATACAGTAGGAGACTGGTAGCACAAGGATTAACTGAACGAGCATTATTGGATTTGACGTAGAGCACTTATGAAAGCTAGACTGGCAGAGCACTTATCCGGATGGATTCATTGCGGGCTTCGAAGCGATCTCCAGAGGCTGATCGAGAGAGAATGTTGAATGAACGTGTTGCTCAGAGCTGCCGAAATGATGACTCCTGCCTTGTTGTCACTAGGGCCGTAGGGCAGTACTGCCGTTGCGAAAATG